ACGAGGACGGTCACCAGAACAACTTGGATAACTGCCCATACATTCCCAATGCTAACCAGGCCGACCATGACAAAGATGGCAAAGGTGATGCTTGCGACCATGATGACGACAATGACGGCATTCCTGATGATAAAGACAACTGCCGATTGGCTTATAATCCCGATCAAGTGGACTCTGACGGTAAGTTTTCCAAAAACTGTTACAATCCCTCTTATTTGTAGCAATTTAAGAATCTTTGTTCTCATTTTTTGTTTTTCTATTTCCATATTGAAATTTTCCTTCAAGGTGATGGTCGTGGAGATATTTGCAAGGATGATTTTGACCAAGACAATGTCCTGGACATCCATGATGTTTGCCCTGAGAACTTTGCCATCAGTGAAACAGACTTCCGCAGATTCCAAATGGTTCCCTTGGATCCCAAAGGCACATCTCAGATTGACCCCAACTGGGTGGTGAGGCATCAAGGCAAGGAGCTGGTGCAGACTGTCAACTGCGATCCCGGCATTGCTGTTGGTATGTAACACATAGAGAAACATGTTGCTCCAGTTATAATAGATATATGTAGAGGCAACTCTAAATCATGCTCTTTCCATTTCAGGTTACGATGAGTTCAGTGCCGTGGATTTCAGTGGAACGTTTTTCATCAACACGGACAGAGATGATGACTATGCTGGGTTTGTGTTTGGCTACCAGTCCAGCTCCCGCTTCTACACAGTGATGTGGAAACAGATCACACAGACTTACTGGTCCCACACACCCACGAGAGCTCAAGGCTACTCTGGCTTGTCAATCAAAGTTGTAAATTCCACCACAGGGCCTGGCGAACACCTCAGAAATGCTCTGTGGCACACTGGAGACACCGCAGGACAGGTGAGAGAATGGTGTTTGAGTCAGGCTAAATTATTTTTTTGTAACTATTTTTACTTCAATCCTTGCCATTCTTGATTTTCAGGTCCGTACTCTGTGGCATGACCCCAAGAACATCGGCTGGAAGGACTTTACTGCCTATAGATGGCACCTAACCCACAGACCCAAGACTGGACTTATTAGGTGAGCTCAAAATCTGATTTATGTCCAAAATTGTGTAATTCTTTCGCAACATTTACAATAGCTTACAGTATGTGATTGTATTTATCTTTTAGAGTCATCATGTATGAAGGCAAGAGAATCATGGCGGATTCTGGAAACATTTACGATAAGACATATGCTGGTGGGCGACTAGGCTTGTATGTCTTCTCTCAGGAGATGGTTTACTTCTCAGACCTCAAATATGAATGTAGAGGTAAAACTATGTACAAAGATGAAACAGTTCAGAAACAATTCTCATCATTTAGACTTTTTTTAAAATTTGTATTTTCTTTGCTTTCTCTTTCAGATACATAATTGCACCACAGAGCCTCTGGAAGAATGCATCAGCGTAGGCCTACATCAGTTTCAGTTTCATTTATTTGTCCTCTGAGAAATGCACAATGGAGGGATGTTGAGCAAAGGAGATAAGGGGGAGAAAGGGACCTCAGGAGTCGAAGCCAAATAAAAAGGAAAAGTTAACCGCACGAATTGTGCGTGCAGCTCTGCTAAGAAGAAATTCGCCTCTCTTTGTCTGTCTGCGCTGATCTGCATCAGAAGAGGGCCACATTTTATTGCTTTGCACAACTGAACTGTTATTCCTCTGTGGATGAGGGAGCAAAGGGAAGAGAGTTGCTCTTTTTTTACATTTTTATACTAATTTTGAGCATTAACATACATCTGCTGTGGACTGAATGATACAGTACTCAGAGCAAAGAAAGCATTAAAAGACATTTTTAAGGATGGGGTAAAAAAGAAAAAAAAAACAGAAAGTAATCCCCTGTGAAGGAACTGTTGAGGGACTGTGGACAGTAAAGAATGACTGTTCTTATTGAAGCGAATGGATGTTGCGTGTTTTGTGCATGTGTGACACCAAAAAAGAATAACAATGAAGAGATCAAAATCAGAATTTAATTTTAATTTTCCTAGTGACCCCCTCACACTGTTGGCTGCAGATACAATGTCCTGGTCCAAGAAATACTCTTCTCAGGAATTAAAACCGTGAGCAGGAGACCTTGGAACACAATTTGTATGAAAACCTTGTCTTAAAATCTCAATTATAGTGAAGGCCAGTTTTTGTTTTTTTGATTCTTTTATCAAGAGGTTTTAATTTTAGCTCCTCACTGCATCTTGCTATCTTTAAATATTATGAGCAACCTTCTATGGTTAACGTCCTCTAAATATATGCAGTTACTTCTAATTATGTGAAGTAAAAAACAACTGTATACTGCTTTCTGCACAGTGTGCATCATGGCGTGCCTGGGTTTGAGTGTTTTTGACAAAGGGGAAAAAAGGAAACCCTTTATGTACAAATATTACCTCATCATTTTTATTAAGGCCAGCAATACACAAGAAACACTTGTTTTAGTAATAGAGTATAAATTTGTTGGCTTACTTTTTTTAGAAGCAAGACAATTATCATTCATATGCTGTATATAAGATATTTTTCTAGTACAAGAAACTCGAACAGGAAAGGATTAAATAGATGTTTTGAATATGTTTTGCAAAATGTATTTCTTGTGCCTTTTTGATAAATTATTCTGTTTTTTTTGTCATTTGTGTAGATATATGCTATTTAAATAATTTATCTCGAGGTTTAACCTCCTATGGAAGCGTTTCTATCTGTATAAACTTTTTTGCACACTGACATGAGGATGTCTTTGTTATTTTGATTTTTGTATGTCTCTTTTTTAATTATTAGTGAAACTTTTCTATAAACATTTGTACTATAGTTTCTACTCAAACTGTCGTTTATACTCCTGTCATCGATTCTTTGTCAAGTGAGCAATAAACCCTTCATAAAAGAAAAAAAAAATAGTTATCTTTATTCTTCATTGACAGTAGTGGTAAAGAATCAGGTTATGCACAGCATCCTGTCATCAAACATATTCATTTGAAGATAAATGGAAGAGAAAACTGTGGGTGGAAAAAAATGCACAACAAATGGGAAAAACAAATGACTGGTTTTTCCTTCCAATCAATTTTTGATTTATATGACTGCATAAAATGCAGTATCAATAGACACCTTCTTCATTATGAAGCTTTGACTGTCTTTATTGGCTATTAGCCACAATAATCAAAATGACCAATAAAAAAGGACATACACTGAAAGGAAAATTTAAATACAACAATCTCTGTGTTATAGACCTTTACAAGAAAAGCATTTAACTTTGCTTCACAAGTCCTTCAAGGTTGTGTTCATCCTTGTTGATTGTATTCTACCAATGCTGATTGTGCACTTCCCCTCTTCGCCATAACTTCTTCTTTCCACTTAACTTTCCATTTCTAAGCTTGGATGAAACGCTATACGAGTCAGCTTCTTTAACAGTGACTGACTCTGATTGTGTGGATCCTTCCTGTAATAAGAAACATTTCTGAAAATCTGGACCTTTATTCGCTACAAGCCATAATCTTCAAAATTAGCAAAAGTGTGCACTTGAAGTATGTCACTATTCATTTTTGTGACATAAATGTCACTTTTTTAATAACATTACTAAATCAAATATTTTTTCAATGACATGATTTATTGAGCAGCACGTCTACATGATTTTGAACTCATACCTGCTCAAATCAGGGTATTTTCAAAGGTAAAGGAGGTGAACATTTGTGTGCCATGCAATTGATATGTGCTCAGAGTCTAAAACAGCCTTGGTAAAAGGGAGTGTCTTTTGTAGTCTGCTGCAGGGAATCTTAAAATGAAGCATGGCCCACTCAAGCACCACATTCATTCACATCTCACACATTACACAGATATCTCTGAACACCTACTAACAACAGCATCCATTCAAGAATTTCTCATTGCAGCAACAAACCTTTAAGAAGGGAACCTGATTGTTTGTCTCTGCATGTAAGTTGGAATTCCATCAACTAAATGGCAATACACCACAACACTCCACCAATATCTCATCTGCAAGCAGACATCCAACTGCAGCTTTAAGTCTATCACAGAAAGAGCTGTTATCTAAACCCCAGACGGTCTCAGTTTGCTGTGCGTCTCTCTTTACATTAGTAGTGACCTCATTCTTGCCGTAGTGAGCTCACTGGGTTTCCATTACCAAAAATGAGCAGTATACAGTTTCTACTATTCTGGAAACTTGTGTAGATTACAGAGAGCATAAAGGAGGGGAAAAATATTCATATAAGATGGATTAGATAGAATTTAAGGGTCCTTGGCAGATATGACTGAACTTGTTCATTTTGTGAATGTTTTAGGTGAAGTGGAATTCCTGCCATTGCAATGGGGTCAGAATAATTTTAAGAGGTGAGGAGTGAGATGAACATGTCTGTAGGTGTTTGAGTGCCAGACTGGGAGACATAGAAAGCCTCCAGGCATACATTGGGCAGGTGCAGAGGGAAAAAAAACCCAACTATCTCCTATCAATGGCTTTTGAAAAATTCTTAAAAACTACAGCACAAGCATCATTGAAAGTGCTGCTGTCTTTTAACAGAGGAGTGGATTTAGATTAAAATAAAGCTCCTTTGGGGTCCCTTTTCTCAAGATCTTTTTAATCCAAGACCTTTACCAAAATCATAAGTAGATGCAGGAATGGTTGACATGCTTTTAGCTGAACTGGAAAAGCCCATCACCCTCCTGACGAGGGTGATGGGCTGTTCCACAAATCAACCCTGTTCCATAAATAATAAAACTACAACCATAGACATAAATAATTAAAAGATTTGTTTTATTGCATATTATAACAGTTTTAAAAGTTTACCCATTAACCAAAATTGTGGTTAATTCCTGCAGGCTGTTTGCGAACTCATTTATGATGTACTAGAATGTAACGTTCCTCAACAATGTTGATTTTTTACAGGATTTCTACGCTGAGATTGTGTTGGAAGCATATTTTTACCCAGGCTGCTGCATGAATGAGCTTGGTAGCATTGATTACACCTCCAAATTGTGCATTGGCTGAATACCTAAAGTAAGTTTTTTTAATATTGAATATACTTATGACATTGTCTAGGCATAGTTCTTGTATCATGTTAAGCAATGATTAAGAAGAAGAAGAATAAGGAGGAAGAGCAAGTACAAGTTTCAGACAGTTTATTATACAATTAAATAGCAGGAGGGCAGGTCATAAAAAACTAACTTCCAGTTTCAGAGCCTCAGTGTGATCAGATCATTGTGAAAACAAGACTCTATACAGACTCTATACATAACTATCCCCCTCATACTCTGATAATAAGCTAAAGGAAACCTTTTCAGTGATCAGCTGGTGCAGGAGCAGAAACCTCAAACTTGCACATAAATCCCAGATTGTAAAGTCACATCTTTCTGTGAATGTGATACCAGTGTTGCTAAGCACTGATATAACACGGCCTGGGACAGGAACACTGAAAAACCTCAAGAGGTGTCATGACTGTGTTCAGGAAGTGGTTCTTCAAATTAGCCATAATCCAGTTTGTGTGCAGCTGCTTCTAATCACTAGAGTTAATGGCAGCAATGTTATTTGTCATTTACTGATACTTAGCTTGATGAGTGTCTTAGCAACTGTTTCCTTGAGAACATAAATTGTAGCGGTGGACTGCAATTCAGCCACGTGTGGAACCAAGAACACCATTAGAATAAAAAAAATGCTTATCAACCACTGTAAATATTTGCAATAGTTATGAATGGGTTCATTGTGGAAAACAAAACCAAAGTGATGTGTTTTGGTGGCAGTAATTCACATGGACAAGATGGATGTTTTTAAGGTCCTGTTGGCACTGTTTTGTTCCTTGGATTGTCCTGGCTCCGACTTTCTGTCCTCCTACATTCATCCAGCAGACAAAGCAACTGCTCCTCAGTAAGGCCTGCTGACTCATTCTGCAATGTAAAAAAATACACATACATAAATCAAAAACATGTGTTAGTTTAAATCCAAAGTGCTACCTCTGTGTGTATGTGAAAGCAAACACAGTATTGCATTTGTAAATGTCCCAAGAACCACATCTTGTGAGTCCAAAGGAACAAAGCTCAAAAATGAAGACAGAATTATTCCCTGGCTAAACTCACAATATTCTCCAACATCCTGACCTAATTTTTGCTCAGAACAGTTTTACTTGCCTCTAAATGGACAAATGTAAATAATGTCTTGCATCAGTGCATGACTTGACAGAAGATTGGCACGTCACAGAAACAAACTGATATGGTTCTGCTGTCCCATGTGCTTAGTTGGAAGGTGTTTGGAGGAAAAAAAACACTTTTACTTGGATGCAAGTACTGTTTTTTTAAAGATAAGTCTGACTCCTCACATGCTCCCTGCTTTGGACTGAATGTGAGACTAAGACTGAAAGCCAACCTTCTTAAATTTGATTCAGAGGAAGATCTGAACTTGTTCTTGGGGCTAATGTGTCATCTGGCATCTGTCATTTTTGTAACAAAGTTTCTTGCTGTGAACACGTGCAACTCCTGAATTTACCTGGACATGGATCCTCTCTGGCGGTTCCCATCTCCTGGTGTGACAACAGCAATCTTTGTTTTAACAGCTGTAAAGCCTCAGTCAATTTGTCTCAATAATATCAACTAAGTATCTTTCTTAGGATGAGAGTTATGACTGAAACATATCCAGAGAAGCAAAATGTTAAAATCTTTGAATGGCAATCATCATCATTCTGTCAGCATGTTTGCTTATGTTTCCAGCTGTCATCCAACACTGAACAGAATGTCCCTGGCTTTAAAGTAAGGATGTCCTCACCCACTTCTTTTTGTAAGGCTCAAAGGCACTGATTAGGACAGGGGTGGGGAAGAGGGATTATATCGTTTTCAGGTCAGCAGAACATGGATGGTAATATGTTTCAAAAGTATTTCACTGGAGTGTAATTTGAATATTTAACATTAATATCAGGAGCGTAAATTGGATTTTTTTTCTGTTTTAAGACAATTATGTACAGATCCATGGCTTTTCTCCCATCTTCAGAAAAATATGACGCGTGTTTGATTGTTTCCCCATGTTTGCCTCATTCTGCTGTGTAACTTAAGGCAAAAAATAATAATAATGATAATCACATTCCTGTGTCTCATCTAACCACTTTAGTTGGAACTAATAGTGAGCATTCATCATTTGTCACTCGGACCACCCTGTGAATTTCTCCAGCTCCTTTACCAAAGACTGGTTACTGAGAGATGTACATCACCGAGACAAAACAATCCAGTGATGGGCTGAAAGACGTAAATTCTAATCTGGCCTGGTGATAATTCTCAAGTTACAAAGATGAACAATATGATCATGTATCAAAAGCCCAAGCATGGACAGTTGTTCTTTGGCAAGACTGTTTAATGACAAAGATGTGTCTCTGAAGACCCCTATGCAAAGGTACCATATTGCAGACACATTAGACACATGAATATAGAGTTTTCTCAGAGACATTTCACAAACATTTACCCAACACCACAATGTCAGCAGTGATCAAAATTAACAAACCGCAACTAAAAAAATCATCAACGGATTCGGACAAATTAATTGTAGTTGTAAAAATGCCCTAAAGAATCTTCAAAAGCATCACACCAGGCCCTGATCTAAACAAATGCAAGCTAAGATGGGAAACAAAGTCACTGACATTGCTTAATTAGGAAATAGTTATAAGGTCATAACAAAGCCTTTGGGATTCAAGAGAACCACTTTAAAGCCACAAATGGAGAAAACATGAAATAGTGGAAGGAGTGGTTGGTGGAGAACATCAAGCACGAAACAACTCAAGCACTTAAAAACTCACTTGCCTTAGTTAAAGTCAGTGTATAATTCAACAGGAGACTGGGCGAAATTGTTTTGGTTTTCAAAATGCCATGAATTGATCAAAAAGGGTATTGCTTATCTCTATGTTGGACAGAGATTTTTGGAAAATTATTTTGTGGAATAACAAGTAGAACTCTTTGTTAACCGTGTGTCACTTTATATTATTTCAGAAGAATAATATTTCCAGTTAAAACTGGCGGTGGAAGTGTCTGGGACTGGAATACTACTTCAGGGCAAATGACTTTTTGGGACCAAGATTTCTGCTCTCTAACAAAACATGCGATAGAGAAAAGGGTAAAAAAAAAGGAGTGGTCCAGTGGATTTGTGAACCTAAATCCAATTGAGATATGGTGATATGACCTGAAGCAGACCTTTCTTGTCAGAAAACCCAGCATTCCTCCACAGCCAAGTAAAACAGTCATTGCCAGTTTTCAGAAACGATAGATGGCAAATAAGTGGTTTAAAGGAATTTCACAAAATTCCAGATTAGCTTAGATTGAACATTTAACTTGAAAAAAAGGAAAGTATCCAATGAACGTATCCAAAACTGTTTTGATTTTATTCTGGTTCTTTTTGTTGGCCAAATAACTTTTGTTGATCTGAAAAAATAACTTCTGACAAAGAAGTAAAACCGGAAGAAATCATAAAACTTGACATCTCTAATCGTCTTTAAATGATAGGTGAACTGATTGCTGAGTGTTCGTGTATTTCCTTCATACATTGATCACAACTCAACTCAAGACAAGCACACAATTTCCCTTTTATTTCATAAAAGCATCTAATACTATAGATCACAATTAAAGGCAAATAGAGTTGCATTTTTATTTGTCTTTAAAAGTTATTTAGTCATTTGGAGCGATTTCCAAAGTCTTTCTGAAGTAAAACTGGAAGACACAGTGGATGACGACGCACCTCTATTCAGAAGAGGTGGAAAATGTGAAGAGGAACTGGTTGGCAGTCCAGATAAAGAGTTACTTTTTTACCGCTTTGTCTGGGTGCTTCCTCTTCATGTTGATGATTCCTTATTTCACCATGGCAACTGCATAACATGAAGCCAGAATCAGTGCAGTAGGTCTGTTGACGTTTAAGGACGAGTACTTGGTCAGGCTGTTCCAAATTAGGAAAAACAGAATCTTTTAATTTTTTCAACTTTTTTGTCTTTAGTTTCATTCCAGTGTCGTCTGCCATGAACATGATGTGTCCCAGCTTTTTAACAAAAAAGAAAAAACAAAAATTCAACTTGAAAATGATGTAAAAATCATGTTTTAGAAATAAAATTTTAGACCGGGTTTCATTCGACAGATCCCACTATCAAACTGACAATCTGCCTAACACAATGTTACGCAAAACTTCTCAGGTTAAAACGATATCAGGCACATACTCAAGCTGATTTGAGACAATATCATTTCCAACTCGGTATTGTTCATCATCTTGACAGTGCAACCTACATCCTCGTGCACACTTTTCTTGATCTCCTCTCAAAAGATCCCAGGGTCCAAAAATCTCAGCATGGACAGCATCTGTACAGTTTTGACTTGGCGTTCCCAGGTTTCCCCCCTTGAATGTGATTATAAATTATCAATCATGACAGATTTTTGAAGGCAAAATCTGCTTGATAGTCACGCACTCCCTTGAATAAAATGATTTACTTACAGTGTTGTAGCAATCTTTTCACACGAGAATGCACTGCAAGTTTATTTTGTGAATAATCTTAAAGGAATGGACTGAATAGAAGCCTTATTGCATTAGAGGACAGCTGGCCTTCGGACCTCTTTCTGATAAAGCTCATGTGACTGAAGTAAGAGCTCTTAAAAGTGGAACAGCTCACACTTGTGCTGAACTGATGCTGTCACATGCATGTGTGTGTATGATGTAGCTGACTGTGAGCTGTGCAGAGCTGGTGGTCCTCTTCTAGAAGTCAGAACAGTCCTGTCTTTGTTAAATTAATCTTCTCTTAGAAAATTGAGCTGAAACAGTATGATCAAGTTTAATTTCATTTAGTTGTTTTTTTTTTACAGATAGGTTAATAAGATGTTTTTTGAGTACACTAAATATGTTTTGAATGTGTCTGGGTATCCAACTGCACCTTCAAAGAATTGTTTGCTAGATTCTAAGTGATATTGTTGTAAATAATACTTATTGTAGCATTTCTGATAAAGGTGCTGGTCTGATTAAAATAATCACAACTTCCTCAGTTTATGGTAAAATATGGAGTTTCCTTCCCTTTGTAGATAATACAAGAATGCAGCCACATATGTTTCTGTTCTTCCTGCAAACCCAAGAGCTTCCAATGCGTTTTCATCGGCTAAAAGTGGTTATGTTGAATAATCCTTACCTTTTACTTCTAAATATATTTCGGCACATTAATATATAATTTTACTTTTTTTCCATGGAAATTGTGCAACAAAAACAAGAGAGCAATGAAAGTCAAAAGGTGATGAGACAGATTATTCTCTTGGCTCCAAGTTGAAGTTCACTGGAAGAAGAATTATTTGGACAATTCAACAGCCAATTGAATTGGACTATGCCCGATCCAGTCATAGGTACTGAGCTAGACTATGACTGGGTGCAGAAGTTGCTACTGTGTGAAGAAAATTCAAAGTTTGCAGATGCATTACATTTCTGAAATGAAACCATATTCTCTATGTAAATGTTGGCACCCGTTAGGAAATATATGTATGATTCATGCAAACAATATCAACTGCTACTATAAAAGCCAAAGAAAATTCCAAAAATGTAAATAGTCCAAATTATTAAATATTGAGTGTATCTTACATTTAATAGAACACAAATGTTGCTTTAGGAAAAATATCTCTTTTTAAAGTACTTCTTAAAACTGCAGATTGTAGTGCTGTGAAGTTGTGTAAAAATAAGTCTTTTTTGTACAGGCTATAAAAAAACTGTCATTAAAACCACATAAAAATCTTATATAACAGGTAGACTCAGTATTCGGTAGTAAAATACAGTAAGGCAGTGGTAGAGTTATGGATGTTATACAAATCAACTTTATGAGTATACTGCAGCTGTGTGAGGCTGCTTTAAGAATGCCCTCTCAGACAAATTCTGAACTAATAAATCTTTTCACAGCCTCAAAACAAGCCTGCTGGCACTAAGAATACACGCCGTCAGTGAACAGTTCATCCCCAAGTCACTCACTGGGTTCAGTCAATTAGTGAGTAAAGAAAAGTGCCAACACTGATTCCTGTTTTTCTGTTCAGAGTGTGCTGCAGCACCAGTAGCTAGCAGACTGGTGGTTTCGATGCATCGTGACAACCATGAAAGAACAGTTTACTCAAATGAAGTGTCGGCATGTTAGCTAGAAATTCCATTTGTTGCTCCTTATTTAACCCAGAAATAATTCCTGGCTGCACAATATAATGTCTTTTGATGTGAGGGTGTGGCAGACACTTTTGTATATCACCACCAAACTAAATGTATGCCTCTTTAATGCTTAAATTAGTCACACATGCATCATCAACATGTGGTACATCTGTGAATTAATGAAAACTTGACACCAAGTCTTGCATTATTTTGATGTAGAAGGAAAATGATACATGGTTCACAAATTTGAAAAGCTTCAAACTTGCATGTGCATTCAGTCCCCCCAAGTCAATACTTGTAGCATTTTAAGATTGGATATCTAAACACTAAATATTTAGCCCATTCTTTTCAACATATCTCAAACTTAGTCAGATGAAATGCAAAGTCTGTGAATATAGACATTTCAGATTCCCTATAAGTTCTGAACTCTGATTAAGCCATTTTTCATGACAAATTTCTCCATTTTGAGCATCTAAAACTTCGCTGTATTTTTAGGGTCCTGATTAAAGATGACCCTACCCAGAACTTGAAGTCTTTTAAAGCCTCTAATCATTTTCTTTTTCCAGGATTCCCCTGTATTTAGCTCCATAAAACTTTCCAGCGGCTCTGCCAAAATCATAACTTTTCCATCAACATGTTTTGTCGTGGAATGTTCCATTCAAGGTGAAGGTGGAAAGTTAAATTTTGATTTCATCTGACAAAGCACCTTCTTCTCAATGTCTGCCATCTCTATTGTAATCTTCATGCACATCACCGTTTGCTCCAAACTGCAGCACCCTATGTTAAATACAAATTTATCTCATGGTTGACTATAAGACAACCATGGTAGAAGTTTGTCTATGGGTTGTCGGTTTGATTCCCTGTCCACCTGCCTTTGTTATTATGACCTTGGACAAGACAACTTCTTTTGAGTACAAAAAAAGTGCAAATCAGCAGTTTTTCTACAACTATTTTGGAGTTGTTACACAGAAAAATACATTGTTCAGTGAACGATGAACTACAAATAAGCCAGGTCTACTGTATATTTTTCCTTTAGCATCACAATTAGGTGTGATTTTTTTATTTGTGACATAAAATGCCAATTAAAGTTTTATTTTTGCAATGTAGTCCGAAAAAGTTCAAGGGGTGTGGATACTTTTGCAAGGCACTGCACAAAGAAATGAAGCCCAACGACACAATCAAACTACTAAATTTATGCCCAGTGTATTCTTTTCCTTCTCTACACACCAGATTCAATGTTCTAAATGCCAGTGCACGCAGAAATCAGTTTAAGTATCCACCTTTGTTCTTGGAACATTCTTGTTTTGTGTCTTTAGCTACAGAGTTTGGAGAAAAGACCTCTGGTTGTAACTCTACAGGCAGCTCCAAAAACCAGTCAGGGTTTAAATGTTTCTAGGGGGAACACTGTAGGGAAGACACTGAACCTCAACAAAGAATGCTAAAGAAACAATGAAACAGTGGGGAAATGAGGCATTCAGAAGAGAACATGCACGTCTGTTATTGTGGCTATGAGAAACCTGAGTCTATGGAGTTGGGAATGAATACAAATGTGATTCCATCGTCCCCTCAAACCAGAACAACAAGGAATGAGCAATGTGTATGTGCTTGTACTAATTTGTCACAGGTGTAACTATAAGTACTCAGTGGTGAAATCCACAACAAAAGCATTGTTCAGATAGAAGTGATAGAATATACACAAGCATCTATCTATGTGTTTGTGTGTAAGTGACTGAGGCTGCTTTGAGCTCACCGTCTTCTCCTGGCCAACACCCAGGATCTCCAGCTGCTGCTGGATCTCTTGAAGCCGTGTCTCCAGTTCTCTCCTCTCCTTTATATCCTGCAGGACCTTCTCTCCTGGCTGCTGGTCCCAATCCTGCTTCCAACCAACCTTGGAGCCAAGGCCCTTGATACACAACAGACACAATTAGTTCTCACAAGGAAGAAACACCTCATCTCACATGGGTGCACTTTGAATGCACTCAACTAACAGTGGGCACTCTGAGCACTTAAATGGGCATAAAGCTGTATAATAGTTCACCACATTGAGTTCATATGACATTTTTCCATTTCTCCATGATTCCTAAAGATGTTGGGACTGATTTAAACCAAAGTTTAACAGGTTTCAAGAGAGACCTTTGAGCAGAACCCCATATTCATAAGCAAACTAAGAAAGTTCAGTTCAAACCCTCTTAGGATTCAAGATAAATCACACATTTATGAGAATAAGGTCAGCAGTTAACCGCAAGCAGCATCCAAAGCAAGCTTTGAAAATAGGTCAGAACAAAATAAAAGAATCCCACATGGAGCACAATCAACTGACAGATTTTAACTGAAAAATGTGACTTTATGACTACCACACCATGGATATTTTTCTTTGCCACGAACTTTAGTCATCAGATCAAACTCAATCATTCAAACTCGGCAGGCTTACAGGGGAACAAAACATTGATTCCCTGCCAATAATGTCAGCAAATGCTAGTAGAAGCTGTGAAGAAAAACTAAATGATTCCAGAGAAATGAATGAATGTTTGCCAAATAACCATCTATTCTAAAATTTCTAATTACCCAATTTTGGAAAAATGCGACCCACTTGCCATTGCATGGAACATAATGCGAGTCAACCGAGTCCATTTAAATTACAGTTGAGCCAATGTTCGAGTGAAAGTTAGAGGTTTGGTAACTGTAAGCATGAAAGTTCGATAAAAGGGGAAAGACAAAGATTGCCAACACTCAAATTGGATATTTTAAGTTTGCACAGAATAACACAATAATGGCTCTAGATGAGAATAATGAAAGAAACTTTGATCTGTAACCAAACAGATTGCACACTAAGAAATTTCAAAGAACATCTCAAGGATAAATAATATAACCACATTATTAAGAAATAAAAAAAAAATGAGAAGTTGTATTGGCTTATTTGAATCAGTTAATAAAAGTAAGTATTTTTAACATATTTGTGTTAGTGTTTAGATTTTTTTAAAGTTTCTTTTACCTATCTCAAATTGCTTTAGGTGTTTATATTATTTTGAGTAAATAGCCTATATCTAAAAATGTATTTGGTTTCCTCAAATTTCTACTGTTTAACACATCAGGCTCTACATTATAAATGCAACTTATTCGTACAACGGAAGATATCCATAATGAAAGAAAATCTGACTGTGGGGCAAACATTATTTTAACTTAATGCTAATTGTGAATAATACAATTTAAAGAGACTTTTACTGGTTCAATTTATCTCATAAATAGCTTTGAAACATATTGGAGTAGAATACAAATGGTGCCCACAAAGCACTGGTTTCAAATTAAACTGGCTGTTTTGATGTCGACATGTTTTGTTGACATATCTAATGACCCAAGTCGAGCTTTTATAGCCGACTTGCTTTATATTAAAAGAACAATGCTGACATAATTTATTTCAAATACATTCTTTCTTTCAAACAAAAATAAAATATTGACTAAATATATTCCATAAATAAATAAATGTTCTCTTATGTCTAATATGCTCTATAAAAGTATGCATTGCTAGCTTTATTGATGCAAGCAATAACAACTCATGGAATTGCTAGCAATTTTGAAAATGTTACATTTTTCTATTTTTTTTTTAAGTCAATAGATCCATTCATTAATTAACCAATTCCCCTTAAATCACTTGTTTTAAATTAAACTTAGCAAGTTTTATAGTGTAATTTTGGGCCAAGTTTATTTTTTATGAAAAGAAAAAAAAAAATTGGGGTTGTGGCCAAAAACTAATAAATTGTGCATAACGGACAACAAATGTACTTCGAAATGAAGAACTCAATTTTCACAGCCAGACATTTGTTTCTCTTTTATTGGCAGATCCAGACACACGCCTTATGCACATGTTCATGTCAGAGGTGTTTAGATATACTAATCTGCTCTTTGATTACATATACTGTATAGAAATACATAACTATAATCTAAAAGAGGACTGAGACAGCAGGCTTGCCAAGCTAATCAAGAAAATATGATTACGTAGGACTCTCTCTCTTCCACACATGTTCACTTTTCCCAGGAGGAGACAACCAATGTTTAACCAATGTTTTAAAAAGAAAATAAAATCAACAGATGATGCAATGTGGTTCTAGTTTGTCTTTGACTTTCAGTGTTTCTTGAATAGTCCAGAAGCTCTGATCACTATACAACACATCGGAAGCAAATGTGGGTTATAGAATGTTGTAGACTATAATTTTAGGTCATATTTTGACCTAAAAAATATAATAGCTGAAGAGAGGTGAAGAGAACAAATAAATTGTTGAGCCTGAGGATTCTTCAAACCACAGGGCGGTTCTGGAGTGTCAGATCAGCGTTGTGTGGTTAAAAATCTCTATCTGCCTCGGTTAGTCTAGATGGCAGGCAGACATGTACATGATCTAATAATGATGAAATTGATGGATAATTCATTGAATGTTGACATCTCAATAAGAGCTCGCCTATGACATAATGGTAGGTTACTGAAGATGCCGGCATCCTGCGGACTTTACAAATTTAACTGCAGAAATTCTAAATACGCTATGACATATTTATGATGGGATGTAGTCCTAGTTAAACCCAGGGTGGATGGGGAGTTTAGCAAAGTATTTAGAGCAGACCGAATGTTGTTGCCCATGCTATAAAACAAAATAGACAATCCAACTCAGTCACCTCATGCTCTTACGCAAATCAGTTTTGGACAACGGAAAGGCACCAACATGATAAAAGAATATTCAAACCTTAACAAAAGCAAAAATTTCCCTTAAAAAAAAAAAAAAAAAAACTGTGTGTGGCCTCATCGAGAGGTGGCCTCTGTCTACCATCCTAGAAATAATGACAGCTTCTATCCTTGGCATCTCTTTAAGTGGTTGTTCCTGGAGCCTTTTGGGAAAGTCTCACTCATCCTAGATGGCACAAGCCAGGACCACAACAGGATCAGACTCATGTTATGCACCAGAGTGAGAAATACAGGGTTTCCAATGAGGAAAAATAAAAATTAAAGTCTAGCTTTACCACTATCCTCCCACCACTAAATGCATGTTGCTAAAAAGGCTCAAATCTCTGCAAGAGAAAGTTTATTTAATTTGGAAAGAACAGCTGCCCTACATCTCACAAAATATAAGCTGGAAACATAAAGAGAGTCTGAAATATTTAATGATAATAAAGCTCGCAGTTGGTCTTTATGACTCTGCCATATATTTTTGGCAATGTTAGCACATAATAAAGTCCAAAAATAGTACGGAAAAGTCCTGGCTAATCGGCCTTATGATTTCTGCACAGTAAGTCTTAAAGGAATCTGAAAGCAGCCGAGGCAGAAAATTGAGAAATTTAGATAAGCAAATAATCACCATAAATATTAGAAAACCAAACAAAGAGGTTGAATTTATGCTACAAAAGTACTCCAGTCATAATTGTGTCTCTCTGTGAATTATGGTGCTTTAGGTTTAACCCTAATATCACTATGCCCAATGTATATGAAAAGAAATATTGGCATACAAAGAATCTTGGTAAGACAGAATAAAAAAATTTAAAAAACTGAAAATTATGTAGTACAGTTCTCGACTGAAACAATTTTACTTATTTACAAATACAACTTATTCATACAAATTAGTCTCACTGAATGTTGTTTAATCCATTGTTGGGGAAGGATGTACATATGTGTTAATCAAAGAAGCAGATGAGTGACCTGTGGAAGTTCAAAGGATCTGAAGGGACCCACAGCTTTAGTGGGAAAATCGGTCAAGAGGACAAATATTAGATGTGCCATCCATAAATCTGGCTTTTAAGAAAGAGAAAAAAGCCAATGCTGTAAAAAACAGCCATGAGAGGTCTAATATGGAATTTGGTACAAGTCATGAAGGGCATACAGCAAACATAGAAGAAAGTTATTTTGTCAGATAAAAATTGGACCTTTTGCTTTACATTCAAAACACTACATTACAAAAACAATCACTGGAAATGACCGTAAACATCCCAACCCCAAAGCAAACACTTAGTGATAACGGTGTGCTATGAGTCTGCTTTTATTCAACAAGACAGGAAAGTTGATCAGAACTGATCAACTTTCTGGTAATCACATTGACGGTCGGATGCTGACAATATGTTTACATCATCTTCAGTCTGACACACAGTCACACTTGCAATACCCTTTATGTTTTAAAAGTGGAAACATTTTTAGTGTAGTGAACAACTTTTTATTCATTATGACTTTAATTTTTAATTTTGAAAAACAAGAGTGGCTTGAATATATTTTAAAAGCAGTGTTGGGGATGTAAGCCTTTGCTTTTCTCTACATTGTAGTAATGATTCAGTGCTTCTCAAAAAAAAAAATTGTTTATATGCCTGAACAGACTCCAACAATTATTCTGCTATATTATAATAGTGTTTGTGCCAGTTTTTCTAGAATAAGTAAAAACTTAAAATGAGGTAAGATTCAGTAAGTTTAGCACAGCAGAGAGATACGCAAATCAAATGCGTTGACTTGGAAAATTAAAAGAACTGATGTTCACAAAAGTTTAAGAAATGATACATAATGTGTTTTAGTGCTCATCCATACCCCCATTATTGCAGTATTGCTTATCTGGCATAGGACTATACAGTTCACCTCCAGTTTCACCTACTGAAGCATTTGATAATATATTGCATACAATTTATTCACCAGCTAAGTATTTTATTTTGATTTTACATTAAAAAATCAAAATAATAGTGCATGCTTGTGAAACTGTGTGGAAATAAAATATGGTTTACAAACAGAAAGCTGTAAAGAAAATGAAGCCTTTGTAAAAAGGTTGCACAGACTGTACCGATTGCTCTGAACTTGTACTGCAGCCAGTACAAGGTCAGGTTTTCATCCAGAAGTGCCAAATATGTAGCTCCATCTATCTTGCATGGCCACCTTGACTCTTTGATTAA